ACCACAAATATATATTCTTAAGGACATCAAAACCTCAAATAAAACTCCAGAAAGGTGTACAATATGGGACCTTTAAGCGTATGATGCTTCTGGGAAACGCAGCTCTGGAAAAGTAATTGAAATTAATTAACCTAATCTTGAAACCACATGGGCATTTTTCTGTGTTTTTCTGTCAATATGGGGTGCTGTGTGTACATTAATGAGGAAAAAAAATTAACTTAAATGATTTTAGCAAATGGCTGCAATATAACAAAGAGTGAAAAATTTAAGGGGGTCTGAATACTTTCCGTACCCACTGTATATATTTGGCTAGTTATGCCAAGCTCTAAAATATTTTACTATTCATTCTGTCTAATATAAAGAATTTAAATAAAATAATGTAAAAATTGTGGGTAAAGAGGTTTAAAATATTCTTATCCAGTAAATCAGGAACAAAATTCATTGGTTAAAATTAAATTCATTGGTTAAAGTTAGTGGGAACCATGAATAACTCTGAGCTCTTAAAACTTTTTTAAACTAAATTATTTTATTTATATAAAAAAGACTTAAATCCTTTATGTATAATGCATTATAAAGGTATTCATAATATATGTTGTAATGTATTATATCTTGTCATAATTATTTGTAATAATTAATGCCTTAAAACTACTTTTATAATGCATTATATTTAAAGGCTTTAAGTGAAGTGTTACCAAAAATGTAATAAGAAATATGCAATGTAAAATGATGTAGTAGAGTCTTAAAATACTTGTAGTAATATATGGTAAATTATGTATGTAAAATTATTATAATATTAATGTTTTATATTTCTTAATTGCTTTTAATTCAGTTAAGGTCGTTAATTTCACAGTCTATTATCTTTGTCTTGTATCTTGTATCTTTTTGTTCAATTGTCAAATAAGTTTGTTTCTTCAAATCAAAGTTTGTAAAACCTCACCTGAATTTCTGCTGTAAGACCACAGACAAAGACTGATGACTGGAATCCAGCTGAGACTGAAAGAACAAGAACAAGACAGAAATGATTGCTAAAGTGGTGTTGAATGATGGAATTTTATACAGTGCAGTGTTTTTGTATTTCTATATTGTTATTTGAATTTTAGTTAAAGGTTTAGTAATTTGGTTGTGTTCAAGCCAGAGTTTGTAACGCTGTGATTGTCCTTGTAGTGGGGTGATTTGGGTCATGGTTTGTAATGTTTTAACACTTTTTTCAAAGTTCATATGGGGAAAATGAATGGAAAAATACTTCCGGAACTTTCAGAAAGTGTGCGGCAATAATGTACTAAACACTCTGTTCAGCTGTCTTATTTTAATATTATTATTGTTATTATTAATATTATTAGGGCACTTAATGCATGTACTTCAACACTTTAACCCTAAAAGGGGCAACGTATCCTGAGTAGGGTTGCAAAAGGGTGGAAAATTTCCGGAAACTTTCCAAAAACAAAATTTGGAATATTCCAAAAAAAAATTCTGGAACGTTTCCAAAATTTGTGGAATGTTTCCGAAAATTTACTGGAAATTTTCCACCTTTTTGCAACCCTAGTCCTGAGGGATTCAAACATTGAGAAGCTGTGGGGAGAAGCAGGGAACGTATAGGTCTTATTTCTTGGTTTCATGTTGAAAGGGTGTTTGTTGTGAATATTTAGATGAGGTGACTTTAGTTTCTCCATTCTTTGTTTAGCTCACAGGCAGCATTTAAAACTGCATGGACTTACCTGTTTAAAAAGCTGTTGTTCAGCATTAGCTTATTAGGTTAACATTTATATATTATAAATTAAATGCTTAGGGCCTACATTTTTTGTAGTCTGTCTCTAAACGTTTGTATCTCAAGGAATACATCACACTTTTAGGGGAATAAATCAAGATATAAAAAGTAAAACATATACAGTATATAGAATGTGATTTTGTGGCTTGTGATTTAGAAAATCAAATCTTTTTGTAATCTTGAAAAAACATATCGTTGGAAAGGTCTGACTGTCAAGGTTCCATATTTGCTGACTGTTTTGTAATAGAAGTGATATTGTGATAGAAAATGATTGATTTGTGACAGAAAACTGCATCAAATAATTCAATAGAGTTTGGGTTTAACCCAGTGGTTATTTTTGGTATAGCGCCCAAACAAAATCTCACAGGAACCACAACTTTTGTGATATCAACTTCAAATTTGGAACATTACTTGGTTAGACATATGGCTTTGATTTTATAGCAATTTTAGAGTGCAACATATTTTATAAAATATTTATTTTATATAAAATAAAATAAATATAGTATTCGCCATTATCTTTATTGTACACGTAAATTTTTATAACTTTTTTATACTTTCGTTTTTTGAAATGCTTTCACTTCATGTGTCTTCTTTAAAAGAGACCAATGTTAGGTCTGTATTCCAAAGTGTTCAGGAATTACAACCGTGTTGTAACAAGCATTGATAAACAAGTGTTCTGTTTCCAGTGAATTTATACCCCAAAGGTACGATGTATCCTAGGGGATACAAACATTAAAATAATAAAAATGTAAAGTTTTGAAAAAAAAGAAAATAATGAAATTGTATTATCTGAGTCCCAATAAGATGGAAAATAGCAATAAATTTTACAGTATATCTCTCTGTGTGTGTGTGCGTGCGTGCGTGCGTGCATCTGTGTGTGTGTTCCTCAGGTGATGTGTGTGTTAGCGCTGGCTGTGTGTGAGGCGTATGTGTTTCAGGCTGGTCAGTCAACAGGTGAGGTGGACGACACTCCTCCACAGATCAGAGGTCAGTCCGTCTCTGCGCATCTGTATTAATTTATTTATGTGTGTGTTTATCACATCAGACTAAGGTGTGTGTGTGTGTGTGTGTGTCTGTGTGTGGTCAGATTTCTCTGGCTCCTGTAAGGGCCGTTGTTTCGAGCTGAAGGAGGCGGAGCCACCCAGCTGCAGGTGTGATAATCTGTGCAAGACGTACCTGAGCTGCTGCTCCGACTTCGACGAGCAGTGCCTCAAGACAGGTGAGAACACACACACACACACACTCACTCACTCACTCACTCACGCACACACTCACACACACACACACACTCTCAGACACACACACACGCACACACTCTCTCACACACACACACTCACTCACGCACACACACACTCACACACACACACTCTCAGACACACACGCACACTCACACACAAACACACACACGCACACACTCTCTCTCACACACACACACTCGCACACACTCTCACACGCTCTCACACACACACACACACGTATTCACACACACACACACACACACACACACACACACCAACGACCAGAGCTGGATTACATGAGATCTGGATACATAACACATTGAGATGCTCTAAATAATTCGTTTTTAATATTTCTATTTGCATTTTAACTGTAAAGTTTTAGTAATTTTGTTGTTTTTGTCGTTTTTACTAGTTTTTTTAAATGTCTAGTTTATTCATTTTTATTTCAAATTTAGTTTTTGTTATTTAGATCATCAAGTTAAACTAAATGAAAACTAGAAATATAAGGGTTTTTTAATAGTTTATTTTATTGCAAATAACAATTGCAAGTTTGTTTTACAATAGTTTTATTTGTAGTTGTAATTTTTGTTAAAGGGGTCATATGATGCAATTTCAATTGTTCCTTTCTCTTTGGAGTGTTACAAGCTCTTGGTGCATAAAGAAGATCTGTAAAGTTGCAAAGACTAAAGTCTCAAACCCAAAGAGATATTCTTTATAAAAGTTAAGAGTTAGCCACACCTACCTAAAACGCCTCGTTCTAACACGCCCCCACATATCTACAGTAGCGCTTGGTGTTTGGTATTTCTTCTATCCCATAACAAGACATGGTTTTTTGTTTACGCGGCGCAGCGCAATGCAACGCAACGCGTAAAAAGACAGTATAAGTCATTATAATCCGTAATTATGTCCCGACTGGATGCAACGAATGCCTCGTTTATAATGGGTTTTAAGCTTCGTAAAAATCGACGCGTTTCAGAAAGGCGGGGCATAGAGGAGAAACAATAATGTACAGTATGTGGAAAATAATGTGTTTTTTAAACCTTAAACCGCATAAACACATTTCATTACACCAAATACACAAAATAATATTCTTTTTAGCAACATCATATGACCCCTTTAAGTATAATAACTCTGGTACAGTGTAAATATATTTGGGTTTGTCTCATGAAAACGTTCTCATTCTCATCACTGTGATGTTTGCTTGTAAAGCTCATTATTTAAATGGATTATCATCGCTGCTGAAATACAAACAGATTCAGTACAGTATTTGAATCAGCACAAATGAACAGAAGTAATTCAGTACCACTGTCACGCAGTGTGTTTATTGTGCATGTGTGTGTGTGTGTGTTCAGCGGGAGGGTTCGAGTGTTCGCGGGAGCGCTGCGGTGAGATCAGAAACGAGGATTACGCCTGTCACTGTTCAGACGACTGTCTGCAGAGAGGAGACTGCTGTACCAACTACAGACCACTGTGCAAGGGTCAGACACACGCTCTCACACTCTCACTCACACACACAAACGCTCTCACACACTCTCTCTCAGACACACTCACACACACACACACACACACACACACACACACACACTCTCTCTCACACACACACATGTCAGACGAGCACATTGTTAAAGTTTTATGAATTCAGTTAATTAGAAGAGCTTTTTGATTATTAAAATTTATGTGTGTGTGTGTTGCAGGAGACAGCTCCTGGCTGGAGGGTGACTGTGAGGAGATTCAGAGTCCAGAATGCCCTGCAGGGTGAGCGATGATGCTGGTGTGTGTGTGAGTGTGAGTGTGAGTGTGTGTGTGTGTGTGTGTCTGTCAGAGTCTGAGTCTGAGTCTGAGTGTGTGTGTGTGTGTGTGTCTGTCAGAGTCTGAGTCTGAGTCTGAGTGTGTGTGTGTGTGTGTGTCTGTCAGAGTCTGAGTCTGAGTCTGAGTGTGTGTGTGTGTGTGTGTCTGTCAGAGTCTGAGTCTGAGTCTGAGTGTGTGTGTGTGTGTGTGTCTGTCAGAGTCTGAGTCTGAGTCTGAGTGTGTGTGTGTGTGTGTGTGTGTGTGTGTGCGTGTGAGCTTGTGCACTCAATCTGCTCTCATGTGTGTGTTTGCTGAAGGTTTGTACGTCCTCCTCTCATCATCCTGTCTCTGGACGGCTTCCGCTCCTCTTACATGAAGAAAGGGAAGAGCGTCTTACCCAACCTCCACAAACTGAGTACAGAACCCTCACATCTGCATCACACCAATCCCACAATCCCTCACTGCACACACACTGACACTGGGCGGCAGTCAGCTCAGATGCCGTGCTTAAAGGTGCAGTAAGCCATTTTTGAAAAAAACCCAGTTGAGAAGTGAACTGGACTCGAGCAACAAAACACACTTGTAGCCAATCAGCAGTAAAAGGTTTAGCAGCAAAGAAGTTGCTTTATTTCTTCTTGATATGCGAGTAATGTTGTTTTTGCTGCGTTTCACTGTCTTTTGCTTCAATATACTCATGTGCAGTGTTGGGAGTAGCACATTAGAAGTAGCGTGAGTTACGTTATCAGATTACTTTTTTCAAGTAACTAGTAAAATAACGCATTACTTTTTAATTTAGAAGGAAATATCAGAGTTACTTTTTCAAATAGGTAACAGCAGTTTCCATGTATTGAGTGACAGCTCTGGTGTTGCCATGGTGACAGAAATCAGGAGTAAGTGCAGAGTGTTGTGTGTGAACATGAGCTTACTGTAGTTCTAGACTAAATATCAACATGTGTTTACTCAAAAACAGATTCAGTGTTCCTCAAAATCAATACAAACAGTGAAATGCAAACTCATAATATGACGCAAACCTGCAATAATTAAATGTTAAATAACACACATATGCCATTTTATTAACTAATGTCTTTGCTGCCGACCTTCAATGATCTACTTCAACCGTACTAATAAGCAAAAGTGTTGAACTTTCTTCTCCTGTGTCTTATTATCACTTCATCGATGATAAAGAGATGTAAGCCTGGAGCTTCTAAACGTTCACCATCTGTTTCAAGCGTCGGCTCTCAAACTGTGTCTGAAAAGTGAGATAAACTACACCTAATATAATGCTTTTCCTTTTGGTTCCCCTTTTAGTGATCGCTATAACCCCATTAATTGTTGCCTGTGTTGTGACTGTGGGGGCGGAGCTATCAACATAGGGGTGTGGTCTTCTGGGCAGGGGCGTGTTTATTTTAGTGATTTCAAATGTCAGCAGCATTTTCCAGAAATCACTTACTGCACCTTTAATATAATGCAAATGTAACCATGGGTACACATTAAACTGTATTTTGGAGGTTTTCTTTCCGCTAGTCTGTAACAACTCTTGAAAAGCTTAAAATTTACCAATACATGAGTTTTGCCTGTATCATGTGTATGTTTCATGTGTTTCTTTGGTAGGATCGTGTGGAACCCACGCCCCTCATATGAGGCCCATGTACCCGTCCAAAACCTTCCCCAACCTCTACACGCTGGCCACGGTACCAAACACACTTCACAGCACAGCAGACAGATTCACTCTGTTCACTCAGACATGACTGAGAGATCACTGCGCTGATCATGTGAAGCAGAACATGGCTAATTCCCAGCAGGCTTTGCATAGGACTGTATAAGGAGAGTAAATGCTGAAATTAAGTATTTTAATGCATTTTTGCACAAGATGAATATGTAGGAGATCTGTTAGTGTTTCATGTTCTCTAATGTCGAGATTTAAGATTACTTGATTCGAACAAAACTAGAATATTGAAACATGACATCATATTTTGCACCAAGTGTTTTCTTTTTTAGCTGAAATGTTTTAAGGCTCTCGATTTGCTCGAATGATGTTATTAACTGAACTGCGTGGGATTGTCTGGTGTTCCTCCTCAGGGTTTGTATCCCGAGTCTCACGGGATCGTGTGTAACTCCATGTACGACCCCGAGTTCAAAGCTCATTTCAGACTGAGAGGACGAGAGAAGCTCGATCACCGCTGGTGGGGTGGGCAGCCCGTGAGTCATGACTCCGCCCACACATGCCTCTCAGCCAATCACAGACGAGAGGCTTTACATAAGACTTATGTCGTCTGCATGTTTAAGGCATAAATGTGATTCTGTATTGTGGTGCAGAGGATGTTTCTTATTCTGTGCAGGTTTTACATGTGAACACTAAATAAATCATCCGGCTCAGTTTGGGTTTGGATGGAAAGTCGAGTTGTAAAGTTTGAAGTGGGTTCATGTTTAATAATTCAGAGTGTTTTTGTCTCTGTTTGTCGTCTCAGATTTGGATCACAGCAGAGAAGCAGGGCGTGAAGGCTGGGACGTTCTTCTGGCCCTGGTGAGCACTGAGATCTCAGTCCAAATGTGCTGAATGTCACAGATAGCAGGATTATTCATTCTTCTGCTTTATGATATTGGTTTCTGATCGTAAATGTTTACGTTCTACTGGTTAATCAGCTGGTTCTTGAGCAGAGTGTCATTTTAAATGAGGTTTTCTTCTAAAATCAGCGTTCAGTGTTTGGAGCAAAGCTCAGAGTGTCACTGCCAGAGACAAACAACACATGATGCGAACAAAGACCTTTCACACACATACACACACACACACACACACACACACACTGACTCTCTCTTCTCTCTCTCTCTCTCACACACACACATATTGACACACTCACAGACACACACACACACACACATATTGACACACACACACACACACTGACACACACACACGCGCGGGTCATTCAGAGTGGCTCAGTCTGTCCCGAGCTTCGTGTTCTTCTCTGAAGAGCTTCACTTGTTTGCGCTCTGAAGATGCGTTCAGCCGCTCGTGAAGCTCTGACGTGTCTGTGATATTGTGTGCGAAGAGCTGAATGAACTCGTCTGTCTCTCTCTGTCTGTCTGTCTGTCTCTCTCTCTCTGTCTGTCTGTCTCTCTCTCTCTGTCTGTCTGTCTCTCTCTCTCTGTCTGTCTGT